CAAAACTTTAGAGCTTATATCCAAAAAAAATTAGTAGTCACAAATGTAGAAAGAAATAAAAGACTTTGTCCAGTTATATGATGTTTATTCAAAATCAAAAACTCTCTGTTATCGACCATATGGACTTTGCCAACTATTGCCTATACCTGAATAACCATCATCTTCTATTTCTATGGATTTTATTATAGATCTTCCAAATTCAAATTTATATGATTTTATATTTATAATTTTAGATTGCTTCACCAATATGCATATTTTGTACTATGTAAAAAATCCATTTTAGGTAAAGAAATAGCTAAGCTTTTTATTAATAATATCTATTGCTATCATAGATTGTCAAAGGATATTATATCACATAGGGGAACTCAATTCATATCAAGATTTTGGAAAATCCTATTCAAGATTCTAAAGATAGATATAAAGCTTTTTTTGGCTTTTTATCCTCAAATTGATGAACAAATAGAATAGGTGAATCAAGTTTTAGAATACTATTTGAGGTATACTATCAATTATTATCAAGATGATTAGACAACTCTTTTGCTACTAGTAGGATTTTCATATAATAATTTGATACATTCTTATACTCAAAAAATATCTTTCTTTGCCAATTATGATTATCATCCATGACTTGATACTTTTGACTTTTCAAAAGTTGTTAATCCTATAGCAAAAGATTTAGCAAATCATTTGTCAAAGCCACATGTAAGAATAAAGATACAATTAAAGGAAGCTTAAGAACCACAAAAAACCAATGCAAATGTCTATTACGAGGAACAAATACAATTCAATATAGGTGACAAGAAATAATTACTTTGTCACAATATCAAGACTACTTGTCCTTCTAATAAGTTGGACTATCGTAGGTTGGGACTTTTTCCTATTTGTGAATAAATCAATCTTGTTGCTTATTGATTAAATCTATTGGAGTCTATGAAGATCCATTGTATATTTTACGTGTCTCTTCTTGAGTTGTATAAGACAATGAATATTTCAAGAAGAAGACAAATACCACTTCCTCCTATAGAAGTAGATATTAATCAAGAGTTTGATGTGGAAGAAGTCTTAGATTGAAGATAGTACCGAAATAGGTTGAAATATCTTGTTCATTGATGTAGATATGATATTAGTAAATGTACATGGGAGTTAGCAAAGAATCTTGTAAATGCAATAAAGGGAATTAAAGCCTTTTGTCAATGACATCCATCAAAATTAAGATAAAGAATAGTAAATCTTTGATATAAAAGAAACAAGATCAAAAGAAGATAACATTCTACCTTCTATCTTTCTTAGTAGCTTCTGTATAATTAAGAAGATGGAAAATCAACAATCAGCAAATTCAACTCAAGAGCTTTCATTTACAGGTTTATCAAATGAGACATTGTAATTGTCACAATCTTCAAGGCAATAAAATCGAGATGAAGATCTTCAAGAACAACATGTCCTTCCTCAAATAGATGATGAGATACAACATTGTTATATAGCGTGATTTGTAATCTAATAATAAATTAGATATTTAGCTCTAGAGAATTTAGTTTTGGCTAATATATGATGTCTTATCTCCCAAAATCTCTTTATTTTGAACAAAAGCTCAAATTATAACAAAATCGTTCAAAACATTTTCTTCCCACAAAAGATATTTTTACTTTGAACTTTGGAAGTTTGTAATTTTTGATCCAACTGTTCAGTTTTTTTCAAATTTTTATATAACATAGATTCTATCTTTAAGTTTTATCACAAAAAAATAAACCATAAATCTATTACTAATCTTCTGGCATCTTAGAAATCCTAATAGGTGCTTCAAACCCTAATCTATAAGCATCCAAAAATTATTTTTCTTATATCTAAAAAATCCAAAATTTAAATGCTACAAAATTTGTGCATAAAGTTTAATAATATGATTACACACAATCTAGAAAATTTTAAGCCAAAATCCTGTCAAATTGCTCAAGATATAGCTCAAAACACAACCACTAGTAAATTGGATTACTTACTATTATTAGATTTAAAGTACTAACTTCAACTTCTAATATCTCCTTCATTTCAACTTAGAATCTATCAAATAATATGCTAAAAATGTAGTTGATAAAGTGGTCTCTCAAAATCTAGTCGTTGATTCTTTATTACTTTATGTATGCATGCGTTATGTCCAAAAGAGTGACAATAGGTAAAAAATCAACACCTTAACTTTAAGAGTTCATATCTCTTTTATATAAACTCCAAATCATACAAAATTTGCACCAAAATCATAGCCAAAAACTTAAACTTGTTGATCCTAATCTTCAAAGCTTGAATAGCTTTGAAAGAGTAACCCTAATTCCTAGTAAGGCCTCAAATAGCTTCCTTGAAGCCCATTGGGCATGATTTTTGGCTAATAGGAATTGAGATTTTTATCATCTATCTCTATTCATCCATATAGATGCATTATTTTATTTTTATTTATTTTTGCTACCAAGATCCTTCTCCAATCTTTTTTTTTTATAAGATTTACATAATATATGCTGTAAACATCAAATAATAGAACCAAAATAAAACTTCAAGGACCACCAATGTCTAAGAAGGGTGACTCTAAATGTTTAAAAGTTACTACTTATAAGATCAACTTCAAAAGTGATTATCAAAAGAAAATAAAGTTATATAAATTCTAATAGAAGCCTTTTTAAACAACCTCTTTTTGGAGTAGTAATCTATCCACATCCTATAACCAATAAAAATCTACTAACATGGCTTTCACCATGTTGCCTAGTATATTGCATATTAAATGTATAAACACATTATTTTCACATGGTGGCTAAACCACAATATGACAACATATTTAATATCATGACCTTGGAAGAGACTCTAAATGATTGGTGATTTTATTAAAGGTAGGAACAATTTTTGACAATATTCTAAATGTTTTATTTGAAGGAAGTTATGAAGGCTTCAAGCACAATTAAATAAAAAAGTGGTCTAATTGCCTTGGTATGAGATACTATCAATAGTTGAGAGGGCCTATCAACCATCTTCAAAAAGAATAAAGATTGGAGTATGTGGCAAACACAATTTGCCGCATCTTGGATTTCTTCAACATATGAAGATTGGTCTTTGTGGAACTTGTTCCTAAAAAGATGGAATAATGATACCGACATTCATAGATATTTTAGTAAATACCTATATGATTAGGTAGGAATAGGCAAAAGTAGATAAAAGTAGGTTAATTTCATAAGACCTTTTAGAAAAGCTTTCTAGAAGCTCTATAGATGTTGATTGACTTTACATGTATTTGAAATTGATTAGTAGGTTAGAAACTTGGTCAACAAATTAACCACGTGTTGGTAGCTTGCAAAACAAGCTAATTTTGTGGCATACATATAGAAAACTTGTCTTGCAAGTTAAGATATGTGTCTTGCAAAGTCAACATGCTTTATAGGTCCTATAGGACATTGCGATATAACTCTTAGTTAAGAGTATATAAGGAGGCAAGAATGAAGCCTTCTTCACTCTTCTAAACACCTTTTTAGTCCTTAGACTTGTTTTAAGACTTTTTAGTCTTCTCATTTTTGGCAATAGCCATTCTAATTCAATATTATCTCATCTTTGACTGACTTTCTAGTTCTTTTCAATGATACAAGAGTGTACTGAGGATTTTCTTTCTTTGAGATTCATGTCTTTAATACAAGATGCTCCAAAAGGCCCTAGCTAGTTGTAATTATGCTTTGTTCTACTACTATGGATTTTCTAGAATATTCCTAGATGGTGGATTCCACTTAGATAACTGCCTTAAATTCCTTTTAGAAGGTTTTATGGTAGGTCCTACCTACATAACCACTCTAAGTCTTTTTTAGAATATTCTTTGGTGGATCTTATCTAGTTCACTAACCTAACTTTAATCCTAAAAACTTCAATGGTTTTAACAATCTATCCCTATGTATCAATAATACAAATATCTTATTTATATCCTATTACAATACCAAGCAAAAGCACTTTCTGGATTGACATCAACCACCACCACCACCAGTTGTATTTGATGATCAACAAGAGTATGAAGTGGATAGCATTTTCGAGCATCGCTATTTTTGCCGTGACAATAGACGTCCATAACTTTACTACAAAGTTCTTTAGAAAAGTTATCCCATCCACGATGCAACGTGGGACCTTGTACAAAACCTCACCCATTGCCAAAAGACAATTTTGAGATACCATTGAAAACAAAACAATGACAGTCTGCATTAATGGATGGGAATTAACTGTAATATGATATAAATAAGATATTTGTATTATTGACACATAAGAATAGATAGTTAGAACCATGTTTAAGAAGTTATGGAAGTTTTTAGAATTGAGGTTAGGTTTGTAGATTAGGTAGGATCTATTGTGAAAAAATTTAGAAAGAATTAGATAATTGTCTTAGATGGACATTGAGAATTAAAATTGGATTTGAAAACAGGGAGGTACAATGATGGTGGGTTGATTTAGTAAAAATATAGGTTGATTTAACAGTCTCCTATATATATATATATATATACATATACACAAGTATATTAAAAATAAAATAAAAATAAATAAATAAACAACCAGTATTGTGTGTGTGTATATATATATATATATATATATATTTATAAATAAATAAAGATCTGTGTGTGAATATATATTTACACATATACACAAAGGAATAGAATACTGTGTTTTAGTGTGTGTTGCACACAGATCCCCAGTTTGCTAAGGTGTTGTCGTAGCAGTCACTAGGCCATACTGCCAAATCCATGACTGACGTTAACAGATTTCTGAATCTGAACAGGAACATGGCTCATGTTCATGAAAGGAAAGCTGGAATTGGAAACTGGCTTCCCTAAAGGGGGGGGGGGGGGGGGGATGAGGAAGGACGCCGAAGTGGGTGTTCCGGGACATGATTGCATGGAGTCCGAGGGGAGCTTGGCGGAAAGAATAATGTGGGCAGTCGGGGACCACACTGCTGCTCCCGCTTTGTTGGCGCCTCCCTGAATGGAGCTGCTTCTCATGAGCAACGAGGGATCACCAAGTGGACGGCGGTTTTTTGTTCAGTGTGCATGGAAGCGAAGAAGATGGTCGGGATGGACCTCCAGCAGCCGTAAAGCTGCTTCAGATACGTCATGTGCATTATGACGTGGAGGAAAACAGTGGTTCGATTGTTGAGGGAGTGGTCCCAAAATTCAGACCTAATTTATATGTTGAGTTGAGGCATGTGTGTGAGTTCTGTAATTTCTGTATATTGTATGATCCAGCGTTCATAACGATGTGTATCGTCTTCATGACGGGGATGGTCTCTTCTGCTGCACAGTGTCCTCAGGTTTGGCAGAAAAGGAATAAATAATAAGAAAATAATACCTTGTCGCTGTTCTCACAGTTATAGTGAGAATCCTGCAGTTGTGTGTATTGAGTGTCAACTGCGAGAAGGGTTGCGAGGGGTTTGAAACCATGGCAGAAGTTGGTGGAAACGTGAAACTATGGAGCATCATAGCTATGGTGATGTGGTTGGGAGGATTCCACATCAATTTCATTGTGGGCATACTCTGCCTTGTTCATTTGCCTAGCCCTTGGGCGATCACGTAAGTCTAGAGCACGGCATCCCATATCTTGCCTGTACGAACCCTGTTCGTAAATAGAGATTCTATAAGAGTGATTGAATGTTCAGACGCTACGAACAAGAAGCCATGTTTGTGAGTTTTCTTTTTGTGTAATACGTGTTCGCAGAATACTGGCGATCTGGGTCACGCTCATGTTCCTTCCCGCTGAGTATGATACACCCATGGGATCCAAAGTGGCCAGGTACATACAAACAAACTCTGGTCGATTCTTAATTGGCCTTGTGGGATACCACTCTCACCACCGACGTAATATTATTTGGCAGTTGAGGTTGTCAGAAAGAAAGACTGGGTTGTTCATCGCCCTCACTGCAGCATGCTTGTTGACTTTGCCCAGCTTCGATTGCATGAGAAGGGGCAAATTGTCTTTTTTTTGCTTCCAATTGTTGTAATTAAGGTGGTTTTCGTGTTTGGTTCAGATTCATCGTCACGCATGCAAAAAACTATTTCCCAATCAAGGTGATTTTTGAGGATGAAAGTGCCTTTGATCCTAACCAGTCATATGGTGAGCTTGCTCGTTACACTAGCCAATTTTTACAGCACCTGGGTTGGGTAATTTTTGACAACGTATTGTTCCTTGCCAGCGTTGTAACAACTCTGGTGGTATGAACCCGTCGACGGTTGTGTGGGTTTCTTTACTTGTAATGTCATCGCTCGTGTGGTGTTAACCATAACGATATTTATCGAAAAAGCTTGTGGTTCTGCTGGTTTGGTAGCTCATCCAACCATACTGGCTCCGCATTATTTTTGATGACTTGTAAATCATACACAGTGATTGCGGCAGAGCCACATTCAGTGTTACCAATTGGAATTGTCGTCTTGACTCCTCAAAGCGGGATTCTCCCGGTCAACAACTTGCGCGCCCTGGCAAGTAGTGCAGTAAGTAACTTGCAGTCTGGAATTCTTCATTACTGGAATGGACCTGAATATCTTAAGCGCAACAATTAATTGTGTGAGGATACCAGCATGAATGAAGTTGCTGACCAGTGAAGTATCGATATAAAAATTATTTTCCAAATCCAGATTTTCTAGCCCTATTTGAAAGCCCTACTTGTGAGAAAAGTATGTCAAAACGCAACTGTGCGATGATAGGTTTTCTGGTCACCGGTGGTGCGCCACATCTGGACTTGGCTGGGGGTTGCACCAGTCTCAAGGAAGTCCTTCACTGCTTTTCTTCAGAAAGGAATAAGCTGCATCGTGGTACCAGGAGGTGTGCAGGAGTGTTTGTTCATGGAGGATCATCGTGAGGTGAGCGATTCGATTTACTGAACTTCGATCATTTCTCTTTCCTGCATTTTGGAACTACAGGTATGGATTCACAGGCCACTGTTGCCTTCATTGCTGTCACAAACTGATTGTCCAGCTCATCGTTCTTGTTGACTGATTCTATAGACTGGCACCTGTACAATGAGTTCGTGTAATTCGTACTCATCAAGGGAATGAGTATTTGCAGGTAGTATTCTTGAAACAGAGATATGGCTTTGTCAGGATTGCCATGGAAGCCGGGTCGCCTCTAGTTCCAACCTTCTGCTTTGGTCAGGTTTGTACCTGTTTTCTGAAGTTGTTTGTTTTTTTTAATTCATCAAAGCCTTTTCTTGCTGGTTAATTTTTGTCATTGGAATATGCTTCTTTCTTAATTTGCTCGCTAGAAGCTGGGGTGTTGCAATTTGCATTTTTTGTGTTCAGCATTAGAGGTAGGTGTCTTGTCTAATGTTTTCCAAACTTCAGAAGCCCATGTGTTTTTAGTTTACTGAACTTGGAGGGCTTTTCACGCTCATTTTGCTTCAGAGAAACGCTTACAAATGGTGGAAGCCCACTGGCAAATGGTACAATCAACTTTCTCGAGCTATTGGCTTTACGCCCCTTGTGTTTTGGGGTAGATATGGGTATGGCTTCACACCCCTCTTGTCGCATTATTATTATTATTATTATTATTTATATTGATTTTTTGTTGAATGTTTGGTTAATTTGGTTTTTTCTTTTTTTTATTCGTTTTGGGTGAAATTTATTTGCCACTCTGTTGTGTCCATGTAGCTCCTATGTTATACCTCATAATTTTCTGAAATTCCTGTAAACTTTGGACTTTGGTGTAGGGGACCAGTTCCATACCGAACACCCATGTATTATGTAGTAGGCAAGCCAATTCCAGTCCCAAAAACGACCAACCCTTCACAAGAAGAGGTAAAAGTCTGAACTTCAGTATTCAAGCATTGGCGGTGGGCTCGTGTTAAGCACGATTGTGTAATTTCTTACAAGTTTCAGGTGTATGTTCACTCCAACAAAGTGTTGCTAATTTAAATACGTGTGTATGTATATATATATATATATATATATATATATATACCTATATATAAATAAATAGTTGAATGAATTCAAGCCTAATAATTTGTATTGATGCCCCAGGTGAGTGTGATTCTTGGACAATTCATTGAAGCTTTAGAGGCTCTATTCGAAAAGCACAAAGGCTCTCTAGAATTTGAGGACGACACCTTGCTGGTTTATTAACAGATTTGTAAGGAAGACAGCTTTGAAAGCCTAACGGCAAAAGCTTGGATGATTTTTTTAGAATCCGAAGGTGGCACAGACAAATGTATAGGTGGCGAATTTAGAAGTTCAGCGCGAGCTGGGCAATATTCGCTAGTCTGTTGTCAAAGATCAGTTTTCGTAGAGAAAATGGATATTATATGTGAGCACTGATACTATATACATAAGATCGTCATTGGCACTACATTTTGTGTCAAAGCAGATGTGCAAACCTTATGAAGCCTACTCACATGATGATCGAATTCTTGCCCCAGAAAGAGATCACGAACTTGGAGGAATCTACTTAATATTGAGGATGAGGTAGGTGGGTTGTGAAACATGTTCGGAATTCGAAGACAATTTCAAGTAAATGAACACCACACAGATCTCAATCACTGCAAACGGTTGTGTCTTCGTCTAATGAACAAAATACTTCATTCAGAATTTCATCGTACATCAAGTTTGGTGTATAGTGCGAAGGTCTTGATTGTGTTGTTGAGCATCAGCCCAAGGCCACTCTCTACGTCCTACTATTAAACAGTGAATAGTCAGGCGTGCAATTGAACCCCCTCGCGGGCGTGATAAGCTTACCGTCAAAGAAAGCTCTTGCAATGACCTTGTTGGCAATGTTGGAGAGATGGATACCATCGAAGCTCAAGTATTTCGCGGTGGTTGTATGGTTAGCTACGGTAAGGTTCACTACTTTGTCGTCAATGACGCCAGTTTCCCCACACCTCACTTCCGTGTTGAAGTTGTACTTACCGCCAAAGCCGCAGGCTGCCTACATCTGAAAACAAAATATTAAAACGTATGTCGGAGATCATGAGCACTTTGAGATTACGTTTGAAACTATAGTGTCTATGCACAATATCCCGGTTGCACTTTTTCAAATGGGATATCAAAGAGATGGATTTCACAATTCGTTGGCCTCACTATAGCTCGCAGGGTCCTTGAGAATGTCGATGTAGACATCATGCGAGCTGCCGAGGTACAATTTGATCTTGGGATATTTGGTTCGCAATTCAGTAACCTTGTTTGTGAGCAATTCATTGTATGTGACGGAGATCAGGTTGATTTGCTACAGACAGCCATAGGCGTCGTACTGATCTGAACTATTCCCTGGGAACAAGGTTAGTAGAGCAGGTATGCACCCCAGAGGCGGCAAGTTCACAACCAAGATGTCTTTGGCTTCAAGCTTAACCAGATCCTCAATCGTCGTAACCATGGCGTCCACGACGTCAGAGACCGCGTCCAATGCTTCCCCCGGCGATAGTTTCGTCGTATAAAGATCGAAGACGTAGTCATGGAAGCCCGCGAATACGGTGTACAGGGACTGGTTGATTGAATTCTCGGCAGGTAGCTTTGTTGCCACCACGAACACCAATAAATGACGAAAAATGTCAGCGACAAAAGACCTCGGTGCTGCCAAACTTTGTGATGCACATCGTGAAGATTCTTGAATGAATCGAAAACATACCGGCGACATCCCCAAAAGTGTTTTTGAAGTAGTAATAGGTGGAAAGGCGAACTGTGTACCGCTCAAACCACTGAACCTGCACATTGAGCGAGAAAGGTGTGGTAAAGCTTTCAAGTGGCTTCCATCCGGTGGAGTTGCGTGCGGAGCCTCCTGCCGATGCGAAGTTTGTTCCGAACTCGAAGTCAACAGCAATGCTACGCAACCAGGGGAAGTTTGGGCTACCTCCCACTCCAAACTCTGCAAAGTCGGGCAGAATCGATCAACACAAACCTCAATGACACGGATTACTTCTGATCCACAGCAGTTTCTGAGTCCAAGAGCACGACCATCACCTATAAAGTCAACCAAGAGTTTTCCGTCGCTTAGTCGATCATCGGCGTGCATGGGGTATTCCACTTCGAAGGGATCAAGCTCGGACAGTGCGAACTTATCCGGGAAAGTTGTGATACTATTGCCGACGTCCGAGAGCGAGTCACCGAAGGAATACACTGCAGGATACGAGCAGTTCGGGAGTGCCTTAGAACTGATTTCTACCAAGCTAATCCACGACACCACGTAGAGCGCAGTTAGCACGGTCCACGTAAGAGCGCTCCGCTGCCTCCTGATGCTCGCCATCGCTGCCTTCTTCTCATTGAATCCGAGTACTTCCTGAATCTCGAACAACTCAGAATCTCGAACAACCTGTTACTGACTCCACAACTGCGAGCTCTAAATGCTGCAAGCTCCAGCAGAAAGATGCAAGGGGGCCATCGCCCTCCCATCCTTCCATCCGTCCACAGTAAAGGGTGCCCATCATTTAATATCGCAACTGCGGCGGCTCCGAGAGTAACAGACACTAATGGGCAATCTCCAGCAAGCATGACTGCGAGGACGCTACAGAAACTCTCGTGATTTCTTCTTTTGCTCTGGTGGGCTCTACTACGGCCTCAGGGCTCCATGTCCTGGATGGATAGATGGATGACTTTAGTGTTGAACGGCTGTCCTTTGAGTGATCCATCCAAGGGGGAGATAACGGGCAGTGAGGCTGCTGCCCGCTTTCCTTTTTGGCGCTTTCTCCAAAAAGAATAATGGATAGGTTTAGTGATTACAAATTTTATTTAAATTTTTTTTAATTTTACTTATTTATTTATTTATTTATTAGCTTAAATAAAAATAATTTAAAATATCAATAAATTAAATATTTTTTTGGCATTGAAAGAAATCATGTTCAATTTTATAAAATCTTATAAGGTGAATTTTGTAAATCATCTCCAATATGATTTTTATCTTTGTTTTTTTTCTTTCACTTCAATGTACTACTTGTCTTATTATGCTCTTTTAATTTAGTTATCTCCTTTATTATATTATGCTTCATATTTTAGTTATCTATTCTTCTCTTGTTTGTTGTACTTTACATTATGTACTTCTATTACAATTTCTTAAGTATTACAATACTCTTCCTCTTTTAGATGAAGATAGACTAGTTCAATTATTAGCTAAAAGTGACAACTTTTACTATGATTCCAATCTTGTATTGTGTTGATTTTTTTGAATCATTTTTTATAAAAATAGATACATCAAAGTTTATTTTGAATGCACTATTGTTACAAATAGAATTAAATGACAAAATTTAACTATTAGCTTTTTATTCAATAAGAATTTTATCAGCTATAATTAATTACAAGATCTTCAATAAAGAGCTTCTTACAATAACATATTCAATTTTAAAATGGCACCACTATTTGGATGGTGCTTCTAACCTAATGACTATTTATATAGATCACAAGAACCTAAAATATTTAATGTCATCTCATGTTTTAAATTATTGCCAAGTTTCTTAAAAAATATTCTTATTAAGATTTATATTTATCTTTACTTATTAATAAAAAAAAATAATAAGATTTATCAAATGTCTTTTTTAAAAGTTCTTATCTTACATCAAAGAAAGAAGATGTAACTTTTAATCAAGAATAAATGTTTTTTTTTGAAACTAGAGCAATTTCATCTTTGAGCAATAAAATCAAAATTGATTATTGATTCAACATTTTTTGATTAAGTTCAATTAAATATGTCCTAAGATCTTATATATAATATGAAGAATAATTCTTTTAAAACTCATATTACTTTAAAGTTTGAATTCAAATATATATATTTATTTTTTTTATTTTTTTTATTTCAAGAAATACTTATATGTTTCAAAACACAAAGCATAATTATATGTTCTTCAAGTTCAACATGATTTTTTAACTACATGTCATTTTGGATACAATAAGACCTTAAAATTAATATTAAGAGATTTTGGTGGCTTCAAATGTAAAAAATAGTTTAAAACTTTGTACAATTATGTGATATTTTTTCAAGATCAAAACTCCTTGTCATTGGCCTTATAGACTTATTCAACCATTATTTATATTAAAAAAATCATGGTCATTAATTTCTATAGATTTTATCATCAACCTTTTAATCTCAAGCTCTTATAATTTTATATTTGTGATAGTAGATTGCTTCACTAAAATAATATATTTTTACAATATACAAAAACTATCAAAAGTAAAGAAACAACTAAAAGCTTTTTTGATAATATTTATTGCTATTATAGATTGCTAAGAAATATTATATTAAATAAAATATTTTATCTATATTTAGGATTTTTTTAAAATTAAAATATTAAAGATAGTTATTAAACTATCTTTGGTCTTTTATTCTTAAATTGATAAACAACTAAAATGGATAAATCAAGTTTTGTAGCAATATTTGAGATATATCACCAACTATCATTAAGATGGTTAGAGAATTTTTTTTCCATTGTTAAAGTTTTTTTATAATAACATAATATATTATTTTATTCAAAAGTCCTTTTCTTAAGCTAATTATGATTATCATCCAAAATTTGATACAAGTAAATTATATGGCATATATATAAAAAACTTGCCTTGTAAGTTAAAATATGTGTCTTGTAAAGTCAACACATTTTGGAGGTCTTATAGGATATTACTAGGCATGACATGTAATTATGCTTTGTGTTTTGAACTGTAATTATACGTAACTCCTTATTAAGAGTATATATAGAAACAAAAGTGAAGCCTTCTTTATTCTTATCAATGCGTTTCTAATCTTTAATCTTATTTCAAGACTTTCTAGTCTTCTTATTTTTAGTAATAGCTATTCTAGTTTAATATTATTTCATCTTAAAGTCTCTTTTTAGTTCTCTTCAATGATACAAGACTGTATTAAAGATTTCTTTCTTCAAAATTTATCTCCTTGACACTATGTTAGCAAAATGGTATGATTACTTTATTATTATATGAAGAATATTCAACCTTGTAACAAGTTAGATTATTATAGATTTAGTGTCAAGGATACAAATTGAAAGAAGATACATAAACTTCTAGAATTTGTATCAAAAAAAAAGTAATAAAATAGAAGAAAGTATGTATATTTAAGGAAAAACTGGAATGGCTATTGCCAAAGATTAGAAAACATAAGACTCTTAAAATTAGACTAAAATCAAGAAAGGAGTTGATAAAAGTGAGGAAGGCTTCACTCTTGCCTCTATATATACTACTTAATTAAGAACTATGTGGCAACATGCTATAGGACCTCTAATATACATCCAACTTGTAATATACATGTCTAATTTGTAAAACAAGTTTCTTAGGTGTGTATCATATGTCCAACTTGTATTATAAGTGGTCAATATGTCAACACGTGGCCTCCTTATTGGCCAAGTTTTTAACCTATCAATCACCTATAGATATGTATAAAGGCAAAGCAACTTCTATGAAGCTTTTAGAAAGCTTTTCACAAGATATTATCATATTTATTTACTTTGATTTATTTCTATCTATTCTTATTATTAAGATAATTATTAAAATAAATATATATGTCTGTAACATTATCCCCCTTTCTAGGGACGAGTTCCACAAGGAGTAGTGATTACATGTCGATGAAGTCTAAGATGTATGGAACTGTATTTGTCATGTACTCTGATCTTTGTTCCCTTCAAAGGTAGTTGATAGGTCCTTTCAACCATCGATAATGTCTCATATCAGGATAAAAAGACCACCCTAATATTTGATCATTATTGAGGCCTTCATAACTTCCTTCAAACAAAACATTAGTAATACCATCAAGGGTGGTTCCTACCTCCAAAAGTATTACTAAACACTGGGAGTGCGTTCCAATGTTGTGGTACCAAATGCATTATATCTCGCTATCTATTTAAAGAAGAACATGTCATTCTTAAAGATCTTCATCTCAATTTTTTTATCTCGAAGGTTGTAATAGTTGCAATGTCTTATTTGGTAGCTCAGCAAATGATAGCTCTTGAGTTGAATTTTCTAGTTGTTGATTCTCCATCTCTTAAGCACTAAAAAATCCAAAGAAATAATAATACAAGATAGAATGAAATCTCCATTGGACTTACTTTGCTTTATAGCAAAGAATTTCTTGACTCTTCATCTTAATTTTAATAGATGTTGTTGATGAAAAGTTTTAACTTTAGTTGATGCATTTGCTAGATTCTTGAATGGCTCCCATGTGTATTCATTAATGTCATATCCATGCCAATGTATCAAATATTTTAACCTATTTTGGTACCGCCTTAAATCTAAGACTTCTTCTACTTCAAATTCTTCATTATTGTCTACTTTTATAGAATGTAGTCGCATTTGTCTCCTTCCTTGTATATCCATTTTCTTGTATGGCTTAAGTAAAGATATATGGATCACATGATGGATTTTCATAGACTTTGATAGGTGTAATCAATAAGCAACTAGATTGATTTGTTTACATATAAAAAATGGTCTAAACTTACGATAATCCAGCTTATCACAAGCACAAATAGTTTTAATATTATGATGAAGTAATCATATCTTATCTCCTGCATAGAATTGAGCTTATTCCTTGGGACGGACATGTGCATTGGCTTTTTTTTATTCTTGAGCTTCTTTTAATTGGGCCTTCATTGTTGCATGTAGCTGTGGCAATAGATTTGCCACATCTTTTGCTACAAGATTATCAACTTTTAAAAAGTCAAAAGTACCAAATTATGGATGCTAATCACAATTGGTAAAGAAAGGTATTTGTTGAATAGTAGAATGTACCAAATTATTATAAGCAAACTTTACCAATGGCAAAAGAGTTGTCCAATCATTGTGTTGATAGTTGATGGTACATCTCAAATATTGTTCTAAAACTTGATTTACCTATTCTGTTTGTCCATCACTTTAAAGGTGGAAAGCTAAAGATAGTTTTATATCCACCTTGAATATCTTGAAAATAATTCTCCAAAATCTCAATAAAAATTGTGTTCTTCTATTTGATATAATATCCCTTGGTAATCCATGATAGTTATAGATATTGTCAAAGAAGAGTTTAGCTATTCTTTCACATATAATAGATTTTGTACATAATAAAAAATATAACATCTTAGTGAAATGATCTATAATCACAAATATAGAATCATATGAACTTGAAATTGGAAGATCCGTGATAAAATCCATAGAGACAAAAAAACCATGGTTGTTTTGGTATAAGTAATGGTTGGAAGAGTCCATAAGGTCAATGACAAGGAATTTTTGATCTTGAATAAACATCACATGTCTATACAAATTCTTTAACAACTTTTCACATTTGAGGCAACCAAAAGTCTTTGGATATAAGCTCCAAAGTCTTATTATATCCAAAATATTTTATTGCAAAGAAATTACGACAAGCTTTAAGAGCACATAATTGTATTTTTCTTTCTGGAATATATAAGCATTCTTTAAAATTGAGTAGATTCTCTTTAAATTTAAACTTAGAAATATCTTAAGATTTAGAGGAATTATTTTTAATATCATGAACAAGAAGGTTTAAGGACATACTTGCTTGGATCTGCTTAAGAAAAATCAAATCAATAGTCAATGTTGATTTCATTGCTTAGAGATGAAATTATTATGGCTTCAATAAAATTATCTTTTGTTAGTCAAAAGTTGCTTCTCCTTCTTTTGGTGTAAGATAAGAATGTCTAGAAAGAGCATCAGACAAATCTTATTATTTTTCTAGTCGATAAGTGATATTGAACTCGAATCTTAATAAAGACATATTCCAACAAGC